AACGTAGCCAAAGCGCTCTATACAACATGCCACATTCACTCAGTCTCACAAGTCCTTTCTGTATACGTAGTGCTTTTCTAACTACATTCACACTCCAATGGACGCAGCGCAGAGCAACTTGGGGTTAGTATCTTGCTCAAGGATACCTGACATGCAGACTGGAGGAGCCTGGGATCGAACCACCGATCAGTAGGTGACCTGCTCTCTCTCCTTAGCTTCAGCCCCTCTAAGGAAAGTGTAACCACTAACTCAGTGCAACACGCAGCTTCTTTGTGAGTGGATATAAGCCCTTGGTTAACCTTGATAAAGTCACTTGTGTCTTTTGCATATTTTCTGTGATGCTCCAAGAGGCAGTCAGTGGCTGATCGTGCCCACCTGTGGCTACAAAAGGCTGGAGGTCCTTCACTCAGCGGCTGCTGCTTAGGGCTGAACATGCAGTTTGCCCTTCGTGCCTCCCTCTTCAACCTTTGTTGAACTTGTTCATAATCCTGAACTTTGTCAAACCTTGGTGCATGCTTGAACTCAGCCTGATTAGAGATTCAAGCTTCTAGCAGGCTGTGAGTAGAATTTTGTGATGCTGGCTAGCCTCAGTCAACCTTTAGCTTATATTTTGTGTGTGGTCAGCTTGCCTTAGTCAACCTTTAGCTTTTACTCTTGACTGTTTTTTCTTCATGTAATAATTGTTTGCCCAGTGGTCTGTTGAACAGCCCTGTCGGTTTTCTGTTTAAAGTTTGTAATTAAAACCTTTTTCTTTACTCAGTTTTGTGCTGGGGGCTTGTGCATGTTACTCCTCCCCTGACGCCTAGCAGAGGGGGTCGTAAAAGTTTGGATTAAACCAAATAAAATAAATTAAAGTTATTTGCAAATTGTTTTAAACCTAAAGATGACGTACACATATTAGAGCAAAACTGTTGTTTTGACAACAGAGTCGCTAAGTGAGGGATTGAGTTGTTGCAGTTTAAAGACAAAAGTGTTTGAAGATAAAGAAATAAATAATAGTTATTACTTGATTATTGTGCCATAAGACTGTACGTGATGCTGTTATCAAATTCAAAAAGTAAAATTTCTGACTGATGTGTTTTCTGTACCATTGTCTGCTGTTATTTACAGTTTAGGTAGCATCTTTTTTGGAGACTGTTGAAACAGCTCGTCTTACTCCAGAGAAGGCTGAGCTGTGAAACACAACCACGCTGTCCTTTCTAATCACAGTCTGAGACGCTGCTCAGTGGGATCTGCACTGCCCTCCCTCCTCCTGAAGACATGTAACCTTGAGAGCAGTAGAAACTGTCCTTGACATTTTCACTGACCTTACAAAGAGAAACTACGATGCAGAACACTTCACTCGTGAGCTTTAACAGCTATTAGGAGCCTTCAAAAACAGATTAGCTCCGAGCCTGCATATTGTTAGCATCTTCATCCACGGTTTACTGATCCTGGGTGTGTGGATAGCCCTGCTCCCTTTGCCAAGTGGCTGCAGGGGCAAAAATAATGATCTTTACAGACATACCAACGCTATCTGGAACAGATAACACAGCTTTAATGGCTCCTTATCCTTTGGCCCCTGCATTGTGATAGGCATCCTGGAAAATATATCCCAGTTGTTGGATCATTAGCGCTTTATTGTAGGCATAATGTGCTTTTGTTTGTGTGGGATTTGAGTTTTCTAGTGAAAGCGTAGCTCTGCTGTCGGACAACAAAATGCAGAATCAGGTCACGAAACACAATGTTTGCTTCGTAAAAAGAAAAGACAAACATAAAACTGATTCTTTGTATCCAAGTAGTATCTGTCTGATTTCCTCTGCTTTAAAGAAGTATCTCACATCCTAATCTCAAACTATCTGTGGAGACATTATTTCTGTATAAGCAAACTTTTGCACTGTTTACTACCATTGTGTGTGTGTGTGTGTGTGTGTGTGTGTGTGTGTGTGTGTGTGTGTGTGTGTGTGTGTGTTCAGGGAAAGCATTACACAAGTTACCACTGTCAGTAGCTTCAATGAGGATACATAGAAACAAAGTAACGATCAGTGAAAGCAGGACTGTGCACTTTCAGCCTGTTGGGTCTCAGGGTCTTTCTTTTGATGTAGCAGCGTAACT